GCGGGGGATGAAGGGCTTCAGGGGGGGTGGGAGGAGGGGTTGCCAGGCCCCTCAGCCAGGGCCACGCCAGCTCTGGGGCCGGGGCCGCCCCTTGCACGTGCCCTTCCCTCCAGCTCACCCTGCACACGCGCGCTTTGCACACGCGCTCCTGCACGCGAGCCTTTCCCCCCAGAGGCTAGTGGAAAGGCCTGGCTCCTCTTCCCCTCCCAGAGCCCCCAGGGCTGGGCCTGAAGCGCCCCGGGGCAGAGGCACACTCGCCACAGACAGCTGCAGTAAATCACTGTAGCTGGAGCACATGCTGCTCTGAGCTGAGGCTCGCTGCATCCGGCAGCATTTGATGCAGAAGCTCACCAAAGCTGCTGCTGCACACACACCCATGCACACTTTGATTAGCCGCTAAGGTGCAAATCTACTCCCCCCGCGGGATCCGCCGGGGCGTGGGGGCTAGCGCTGGCCGCTTCTCTTCCCTGCCTGGGGCAGGGCTTTGGCCTCTCTTCTGCTCCGGAGCCCACCACCCTGCTCTCTCCAGCTTCCCTGCCTCTCTCGCTTTCCCAGGCTCCGTCCCGCCCCAGGCCCGCAGAGCTCCCGGCCGAAGGACCCTGCGCGGGTCCCACCTGCCAGCCCAGCTCCCCTGTCGCCAGCCCCCGCTGCAGCCTTGTGACTGTGACAGCAGGGGGAGTGCCTGCCCGGCGACTGCTGCCGTCTGAGCGGGGGGACGCGGCCAAGTTTCGCCTCGGAAGCTCAGCCCTGTTCCCCTGGGCTTCGCCTCTCCCCGGCCGGGCTCCGCACCGCCCGGCCCGCACCGCACTGCGGGGCCCCGCGGGGCGCGGCTAGCCCCCGGGCTTGGCCGGAGCTGGTGCTGCAGGGGCTGGAGGGTCGGGGGAGGGTCGGACATATTCTCTGCGAAACAGAGCCCAGGCCCCTCGGCTCCGCCGTGCCCCTTAGCAAGGGAGGGTGGTGGGGAGGAGGTGCTGGTGGGGCGGGGCGGTGGGCTTGATCACTGCAGCCGCGAGGCGCTGAGGCCCCCCTCCTGGCCCCCCTGGCTCATCAGCCCAACTTGGGCCGCCGCACTTTGCAAGTCCCCTCGCACGGCGCCCGACTGACGCGGATCCGGTTGGCGAAACCCAAAGCAGCCCCTGCACACGTGCGTGTTTTCCCTGCCAAGCTCCAGAGAAGAGCGGCGGGTCCTGGGGCTGCTTCTTTTCCGGTGCAGGCACAGACACAGACACAGCCGAGCACGGGCTGACCCCAAGGCTGTGGCTGAGCTCTGGTCCTGCCGTGGCAGCGCTTCCCCCTGTTCACTCCCGCACACCCGCCAGCTCCTCGGGAGGGAGGATCCGTGTTCCTCCGAGTGCCAGCCCGGGGCGTGGGTTGTCGCTGCTGGACGCGGGATCCCTCCTCTGGCCTGACCCTTTCTGCTCGGATTGAATTCAGCCAGGGCTGGGAGAGCCCCACGGAGCGGGCGGCACCCCCCTGCCCGCCCAGATCCCCGGGAATCGTTTTCAGTCGGAACTGAACGTGCCCGGCGCGCTCCTTGGACAAGCTGCACCCCCCACCCAGGTCCCGGGCATTTGCCAAAGCGAAATCATCCGATCGGGCGAGATCCGCCGGGCTCCTGCGGCCCCGGCGTGGGGAGCCGCTGCCACGCTGCACTATCCCGCGCTCAGACCCAAAGGGGCGGCACTCCAGTCACCCCAGGCGGGGGCGAGGAGAAATCGCCAGGGGATGATCCAGAGGCTCTTCTGGAGCCAACGTGTGCCAGGCACCCACCCATGTATGTGTGTGTGGGAGTGAGCGTGTGCGTACATCCTATGCGTATACTCCCCCCCACACACACACACACACGCTTCTTGTTCACAAAGTTAAAAAGCTGGGGGGAAGGGACTATTTATGCAGGCGGTTCGTGTTTGTCTCCGTGGGAAAACAAACCCGGACAAATTGGAGGCTGCGGACCGGCTCTGATATCGGGCAGGAGAAGCTCCCGCGGATGAATTTGTTCTAAATCTGTCCAAAATCGTGTAACGACCCCGGCAATTGTTTGGGGGGAACGAAATCAACGGTGCGGGATCCCTCCGTGATTTTCCCTGAATCGCTACGGCCACAACTGGTCCCGGGCAGAGGGTGCCCGGCGTGCGCGGTCTGCAGCCCCCGTGTGCGCTGGGCTTTCGGGGGAGGGGGAGGCTCGCAAGGCAAGCGCCAGTATTTATTTCTAGCTCGTCTGAATCTATTGCGGGATGACAAAAAAAAAAAAAGAGACAGAGAGAGAGAGCCGCGGAGGCGTGGGCTGCGTGACCCTGGCTGCGGGCTGGGACGCACAACGCGGTGTTTACATGTCCATGAGATTTGGAGCGCAAAGGTTTCCTAAATCCTATGCTAACCCGCGCCCGGCAGTTAACAAGACGTGATCAGCAAATTATGACAAGAGGAACCCTTGATAGATAATATATTAGAGAGAGGAAGAGAGACAGACAGATATTCAGAGAGTTATACAGAAATAACCTGATTTCCTACTCGGGTCTCCTGCCTCTCCCCTCTGTACTGGCGATGGTGGCGGTGTACTACTTGCAGGAAGACTGTCCCCCTGCTGGTGCCCGCTCCCCCCGCCCCCGGCCCCTGTAGGATCAAATCCTGCGGTTGCCATTCTTGTGATGGACCTCAGGGTCACCCCGCTCCCACCCCCTCCTTTTAACAGATAGAAACAATATCGAATAAAGTAGCGAGGAGTGGTGATGTAAACCCACCCAGGACGGCAAAAGCCGGGAGTGGAAGCGTGGATCCCACGTGTGTTGTACCGGGGGGGCTGACAGTGAGCTCAGAGTTGAAAGTAAACACTTCTATAGATTATTTCACGGGTCACAGAGGGGGAAAGCACCTCCCTTAACAGACTGCCTGGATTCAGTGGCCTGAGAGGCACCAAGAGGCGAAAGTGTCCATCAAAAGCTATCTCATCCCCGTGCTCGGGTGTCTGGCTCCCCATCTAGTCCGGACGCAGGGAAGGCAGGGCGCTTGCAGGGCTCCCTGGCAGGCTTTGGGGGAGAGCAGTGGAGTGGATCCACGCTCCCGTGGCTTTTGCATCGTCTTGGGGTGTTTGCGCCTCCTGCCCCGCCCCGCCCCACCTCGGCCCCCGAGTGCACTGAGTGCCTGCACATGCCCTGGGACTTTCCGTCTCCTCTACGATTAGCCACATGAATACCTTCGTGTGGGAAAGCATCGCAGGCAAGCGCGCAGCTAGCTCGATCCTGCCAGCCGGGCTCGAGCTCCAGACATGGCCAAGGGGCACATGCAGAGGCCGGGGGCGCCTGGGAGGGGAGGGGGCAGGAACGTGTGGCTGCCCCCGGCGCCCCGAGGAGGAGGGCGCGGCGCTCCCCGCTCAGTCTGGGGGTGGGGGCGCCCCCAGACCTTGCGGCTCAATTCTCCGAAACAAGGCAGGCGCCGGCTCTTGGGCAAGGCGAGGCCCAGCCGCGCAGCTGCGGCCTTTCTGTGTCAGCAGCCCCAGCTCCTGGAAGCCGCTTAACTGCCCCCCCCAAATGTAAGACCCGGGGGGGCAGCACACACATACACACCTTTTTTTTTGTTCCCCCTCGCAGGAGAGAGAAGAGGGCGAAGAAGGAAAAAAGAGAGAAAAGAAAGCAAAAGAAGCGGGCGGGAAGAGGCCGCTCAGGCAGGGAGGCCGGGAGCAATAGGCCATACAAAATGAAGCTGAAAATGACTTCCGCTGCTCCATTTAACCTCTCTGTTTCGAGGTCCTCCGCCGCCTACGTCCTTTACTGAACCCAGCAGCCAGAGTCCCTGTGGCAGGGCAGACGAGGGCAAGTCGAGGCCAGGCCGGCCCCGCTCCCCAGCGCCCAGCAAGGCCTGTGCCCCGGCTCGGGCCAAGTCCCCGCGCGGGGCGATGCGGCCGGCCCGGGGCACCCCCAGC